GCCAGTAGAGGTTGCAAGGTATTTCTTCTCAATAGCTGGTGCAATGGAAGAAACTGCAACATGTATAGAGAATAGCAAACTGAATTTAATACTTAGTTGGTTTTGAAAATTTAATCATTGGCACCGTTAGTGTAAAGAAATTAGAATGCAAAATTTAAGGTACTTAAATCATTTCTTAGGGGCTCTTATTTTTTTGAAAAATTTAGCAGGTTTACAAAATGGTACCTGAATATTTTATGTTGCTACCCATTCTAATTTCAAATCAATAAATGTGTTCCAACATTTTTGTTTTCTAAAATGCTTTTCTTCGCCGAATGACAAAAATTAGGATCCACAAATCGTACTTTTTAAAATATTCCCTATTTTAATTATTATTTTCTAACTCCATTAGTGTATTTAGTGCATAATTTTAATTTCGGACCAATTTTTATATTAATTAATTCTCAATTTTTCTAGTACTAATTGAAGGATTGTACATTTATTGCATGCTTCTAAAGTTCAAAAATATAATATAATGAATTGTTATTTCTGTTGCATTAATCTAAATTTATATCGATATTCGGGATTTTTTTTCTATCTGAAAAATAAAACCCGAATAGGAAAGAATGTTCTTTGTCTTGAATTTGTTCTGTAACTCCAAAAGAATATTACCATCAAACTGCCAAGTATTTAAATTCTCATAAACAAAAAAAGTTATTTCAATTGTCATTTTATATAGAAATATCACATATTAATTTTTAACTGTCAGTGCTATAAAAAAATTATCTTTGCCGATAAAATTCTGATGCCAAATTAAATGAATGTGAGAGAAATATATGAGTTATTTGTCAATCTACATATTACTCGATTTTGTTTTGAACAAAAAAAGAATTTGATTAAATTTAATTTACTACGACTTTTTTTCGTATTATTGTCATACTCTTAACCTCTGTCTCTTCTGATATTACATCATAGTTGTCAATTCTAACAGCTAGACTGATTAAACTTTGAATAAAATCAATTCGCTATCATATCTTCAAGTTCGAATTTAGAATAATATGCGTCATCAAGATCTTTTTTCTGCTTATGATTTTAAAAACAATAGTCAAAATTTATTAAGAGTACTTCTAAAATTCAAAATTTTTTGAAATTTTTTTTGTTAGTTTTTAGAAGGTTAACTTATAAAATTATGTGATTGAAACAAATTTTCAAATTCGTTTCTTGTTGTATCCTTACCACAGATGAAATCACTTCAGTTCTTAATGCAACGCAATATATTTCAGTTATCATGAATGTTTGAAGGAAGTTATGTATAGAATATTAAATTTTTGTTCCAAATTTTTCTTACGTATTATACTAGAAACATGGGAATATGAATCTGGCAAAGCTGCTAGCCAAATGAAACGGCAGCGAAAAGCTTTTAAATAAAAAGGCATTTAGCTTTCCAGATACTTTAGTTTTATTATCAGATGTTAATAAAGCGTTGAATCAACTTCATAAATATAAAAAGAAGTTTACAGTTTTAAATTATTATACAATGAAATATGTTTAATGCGGAAATGCTTAAGACGAAATATCAGTTAACCCGAAATAATATAACGGCCCCGACAAACTACAAAGTATTTTCACGCACTCTTTTCTCTTAACGCGAAAAGATTTCCCACTTCTGGGAATGAACAAAATACGGAAAACACCATCTCTTTTTCTATTTTAGAAGAATTTCTTTACGAACACAATGCTAAGGAGCTCAGGGGAAAGCAAACTTCTATTTCGCTCAAAATGAAGATGGAGCTTCTTAAGACTGTTGATCCAAAACAAAAGAGGAAAATGGAAATATGTAGAGATTTTCATTTTGCTAACTCTACAGGTCGTCATTTGACCATGGTTAAAAAACGAGATCCGTCGCCAATAGCCCTGGTGCAACGTAAATATAACTGTAATTCCAAATAGGCTATGGATTGGTATAGATGGGAATCCTCTCTATAGCTTTTTTAAATTAAAAATAACTTAACATAACCCGTGTCAGCTTAAGAATTTTCTCCCGTAATCTGCATCAATGGGTATCATTGAAAATTATCCGTGAATAACTAAATTAAAAATTACTAAACTTTACCGTCTTTTACGTTTCTATTGGAAGCGATTGAAAAATAGAATTTTATGAAAATTACGATAAAAATGTTGTAATCAAAGCAAAAATCGCGTAATCTTGGCATTTCAATTTATCACCCAAGCGTTTTCGAATAAATATGAGATACGAAGACATTGTTTTGAATATTTTTTCATTTCAACCTTCTTAACTTTGAAAGATAATATTTAAAATAATGTTATCCAATGGCCTTCGAAATATTTACACTCGCTGATTATTCAGAGAGGAAAATTTTTTTGTCATTATGTGGAGAATGAATTGATTTTTATATCTCTCAAGAATGACGAAAAATGATTATTTTGAGTTTATAATCTTTTTCACATGATTTTTGTTGATATGGGTTTTGTATTTAAGATTCAAAATCAGCAGGCGTACTTAAATATGGATAGAAAAATGCCTATAAACGCCGTATACTTTAAAATATAAATTTATTTCTCAAAATTATTGTAATTTATAATCATAAATAATAAAAATTTAAATGCGTAGGAATAATTTAATTTTTTTCTAGTCAAATTAATTAATAATTTACTAATAGCTACATTAAATTTCAATAAATAATTTTTTTTAT